CCCAAAGGACTACCAGGCTGGAGAGCCCTGAAAGTTGGGGCAGAGGGTAAACAGTATGTGGGCACGTTTACAGCAGTGTATTACACGTATGAGCATCATCACTCGTGTCTCAGCAGAACACAAAACAGATAAACAAACAAACAAAAAAATGCCACAACCTCAGAACCACTGTCTTACTGTACAACATGCTCCAGTTTTTTCCATCTTATTAAAATAGCTGTTTGAAATTTTCTGAAAAACTGCTAGATACAAAACAAACAAGCAACAAATAAGTTTTAATTTGTGTAAACCTCTATATAAGTCTGATACCCAACAGGAAGTGAGTACTCTCAAATTTCAGGAGGGTTTATGTGCAAAGGGATCATTTATGAAGTTCCCAGAAGGGTACAGGAGACCCCCAAGGAACAGTACAGGAATCTGGGACTAGTGGCAATGGACTTGGTACTGTCTCTGAGCCCAGAGGGACAAAGGAAAAGGTGACTGGAACCCAGAGGGAGAGGGTCTTGTGGAGGAGGCAATCTCGAGAGAAGCAGTGATTCTTCAGAGAAGGAATGTAACCAGCTCAAGGTGTTCCCTCTGGGGGGAAACCAGGGGAATACATACTCAACTATCTCTACGCCCTCTTATCCATGGAGTATGATGTTCATTAATGAACTCCCATTGGGTAAATCCAAGGAACAAACACTTCTTAATTATTTCCCTGCCTTTTCCAGCATTTGACATGACCAATGATTTCTTTCATCCTAAAAGCCTTTTTTCCTTTGATTTCTGAGACACTACTCCTTTCGTGGTTCGATTTTCTTCCCTTTCTGATTGCTCCCACCCGAGCTTCTCTACAGACTTCTCCTTTTCAACATCACTCATTTCCAACTTTGCCCCAATGCCCATGCTGCTCAACTTAGTTTGCATTTTCTGAGAAGCAGAAGCTGAAACAAGGATTTCAATAAAAGTCATTTATTTTGGAAGTGACACCAGAAATATCATCAGGGAAGCAGGGAAGTAATACAGGGTGGAGAAGAGATTCAATAAAGTAGACATTACCAACCAAGAAACCACGATGGGCAAAGGCTCAGTCTTGCTGGGGAACTCCAGGAAACAGTGTAAAACATGCTCTGAAATGATTCCAGTCAAGGGACAAATGAGCTGTAGTATTTATACACAACCCCTGAGAGTGACTGGATGAAGACCACTGCCCAGGGGCGTCACTTTTTCAGCACTTGTAGCCTTCCACAAACATGGCAGCGCAGCCTCTGAGGGCAGTTATTGCCATGGTAACGTGGGCCATCAGGACACACTGAAATGATAAGGGCCAAAGGTACATGGGTGGGACACCGACAGCATCGTCTGTGTTTCCAATTTTCTAGTCCAGATCTTCCTATTTTGTCCCAGATTCATACATCCAACTACCTGCTTGGATCTTTACTAGAGGACCTGCTTACAGGAATCTACCGTCCCCCACTCCCAAGCCTACCTCACCTGTCCTCCCGGTTTGCAGAGGCAGCATCACCCTCCGCCCAGCACCCCACATGAGAGACCCAACCAGTCACCTGTGTTGTGCCAGTGGTTGCCAAGCCTTATTAAACTAACACCCTAAGCACCTCTTGCAGTTCTTTCCTCCTGTCTCATTGTCTTCGTTTAGATCCCATTATTTTTTTGTCCAAACGACTGCAATAATCTCCTAATTGGCATTTCTGTCTCTATTCTATCAACGCTTACATACTATGTAATTACCTTGCTTAAAATCCTCACCATTACCTAATGGCAAGACTCTAAGTCTTTAGTTGAGGCAGTCCTCTGTCCCCTGTCTTCATTTCCAGTTTCATCTCTCTTTACTCTAAATACGCTACACGGGCCTGCCCACGTGCGTGCGTTCATTGTTCCCTGCAAATGATGAAGTCCAGTCTTTACGGATGTGCTTCCTTCTGCCATGTTTGTCTTGCTTCACATGACCTCCCTGACATCTCCTACTCATGTCCAACACCACTTCCTTTGCCACACTGTTCCAGAGGTACCAGGAGGGCAGACATCTCTCAGGCTATTCTCCCGCAACACTAACAATTGCAGGGCAGTAATCACCTATCTGTGGGGTCGATAATAAAGGCATCTGTGGGAATAGTGTAAGTTGTATATCTGAAGATCAGAACACACCAGAAGTAAGGTAAAAATACAGAAACTAGTAGACAAGTATAAGATTGTTCATGATAATGCTCACCATTAGATGCAAAGACCACAAACCCTTTTTTTAAGAAGTCTCCTTTTCATTCAAGGAGTCTGAGTTACAAGCAGTCTCAGCTCTTGGAATCCACTATGATGGCTCAAGTAAGGCCTTTTAAAAGTAGAACTAGATGAGGATGATTCAGATTAACGAGTACTTCAGTGGACTTCCCAGCCACACCCGTCAGACCTTGCTTTACCATTCATAAATATTATCTAATCTGATTAATACTCCTGCCCCTCAGCCCTTTAAGGCTGCTGTGCTGATACTTGACCTCTGCTATTCCAGACCCCTAGCATCCACACTGAGACTAAGGATTCCAGTTCAAGGGTAGCATCTCCTACCTTCACCCATGGCCTACAGAGGGCAGCCACTACAGCTCTTTCCAAAAGTGCTGGTGCTGTGTTCCCGAAGTATTTCGTGGGGCTCTGACAAAAGAAGTGTCTTCTGGGCCTCCACAGAGGAAAACAGTTATGGGGGAGGGGGGTGAAGGGAGAGCACGATAAATCTATTCCTACATCCCAATTCTCTGCGTTATTTAGTTTCTTTAAGAGATTTCTGGTAGCGGCTTCATTTTGGTATATGCCACTGTTGAGTAAAAATTTTAATCGACCAGCTGAGAAAACTGTTAAAAATATCTCCAGCTGTTCAAACTAGTACATTGCATGCAAAATCTAGCAAGAAAAACTGTCTCAGAAAAATTCAGCCCAATCTAAAATTATTCACCTCACTCTCTGAGTTAGCACCTCCAGAATTCATTTCCACATATATTCCCCCAAGTCTTTTGCTGCATAAATTAGCAAAACCTTGTGATTTTATTCTTCCAGATTCAACTTTGCAGTTGGCTTCCTGGGATATGCTGGAACATGACTCTACCCGTCTACAGGCATTAAAGCACACTGGCACCCACCAGCAAAGTAACCATCTCCAGTAAGACTATTACAAAGTTTTCAAGGAGGGCAGGAATAGATTCTTCTCCTGGGGGACTTACTTCTGCCAGCAAGAAAAACTCTGTGGAGTTTGGGGGTTCAACATTCTTATTAAAGTCATCTAAATCCTCCCCAAAGTTACTAACCCTATTTCAAGTTTCCTCTAGTTTGTAATAAATGCTCTTATGTTCACATAAAAGATCTGGGAAGGCTGTGAATTCCACTTGTAATGCAGTTTGTCATAGACCTGGGCCTGATTTGCAGGATTAGACCTGGGTCTGCTTTTCAACCATGTCAGCCCTTTAACAAGCATGAATAGACCCTTGCAGATCGGTCACAGAAACCAAACCTACATTCACAGCCATTAATACAGCCAGAAGAAATGTCCAACATGAGACTGTCCTGACAGAAATCCCACAGTCATTGTCATTCACTACCTGACTTCTAAAATGGGACTAGATTATGGACCCATCCACACAGCTGCCCAGAAGATCCGGTTTCTCTGTGTATGACCTCTAGCCAACATTGTTCCTATCATCTGTATTCTGAGTTTTGTGTGGGGGTCTTAGAATCAAGGTCATGTGTGGAAATCTCGTTAGGGAAATACGATGTATTTTTTATATACTTATGATCTCTTTAACACAGAAGGCTCATTAGAGAGGATTTGGCGAAGATGCAGAGAGAGCCAATCTCTAGTATCTGCTGAGCCCTGAAAGAGATTATGGGGAAATCCATAAGGAAGGGAATGGGAGAAAGATTACTGGTGGCTACAGATTTTCTATTAAAGAAGAGTTTTTCAGACACTGTCTCATTGGAAGGGGGTTCAGGGACTTAGCCTGAATCATATTAGCTCATTTGTTTATTTCAAGTGGCAGCTAGGAGAGCTAATGGAGGTCTAAATGGACAAATGAACATTCACACCATAACCAAGTGGGAGAGGTAAAATGGTACCAAGATTATCACCCCTACTTCACAGAGTGACCTGGTCTGCCTCTGAGGAGCAAAGTAAATGACAGGAAAACCCTTGAATAAAGTGTTCTCTCATATTGACAAGAGTCCCCACTAAATAGTTCTGTGAAAAAGAAGAAAAGACAAGTTTTTAAAACAAAATCGTGACATGATTCCTGAACAATGAAAACTATGTTAAAGAGTATTTTAAATTCAGATCTTCTAGATGACCTTGGATTTATTATCTCTATACTTTTCACACCCAAACTGGCACAGGCAAGAAGGAACAAGTGTGTTTTTTTTTTTTATATTGCACTGGTGGTTTTTTGCTTGTTTGGCATTTTTTTAATCTCCATAATGTGAAACATCCTTTTGCTTTCAAAGTAGCTTTGAGACAATGAACAATCATATTTATCTCTGTGGAATTCCTGAGAATTCCTTTTTCTTTTTAATTTTTTATTAATAACTATTAGGAGTCAAGGTTCTGAACAAGGTAGGAAGCAGTGGCAAGAGGGCTTCAGGTAGGGGACAAGGAGGGAACACCAGTCTTGGCTAGCCTGGCCACTGCCCGAGGTCCAACGCGAGGTCTGGGGTAGAAGGGCTCTGGAGAGAGGGGTCTGGGCATCAGTTAATGGTGTATTCTACACTGTCCTGACCGGGAATCAAACCCGCCACCTTTTGGTCTATGGGATGATGCTTCAACCAACTGAGCCACACTAGCCAGGGTGAGAATTCTTTTTGCATTGCCCCAAGTCTACCTAAGCAGGTAGATACTTTAAAACGTGTTTTTGGCATGTATTTCTTTTTTTTAAATCAAACCATTTGCATCAGAAGTCGAACAGCAAGAACAGAAAGAGCTCCTTTCAGAGCCCGCTGTGGACTTGGTGAGGGAGGAAAGGTCTGTGCTGCTACACATACATTCTGCGGGTCTCCTGGGCTCTCAGTTCATAGCACTCTGCTCCCTGGCTCCTCAGCAGCTCCTTCTCTTCTGCTGCATCTCGAGCTTTCAGCTGAGGAAAGTGGGCTGGAGAGGGCATGAAGTCGTAGTGCCGGTCCAGATACCGCAGGTAGATGAGCGTGTGCAGGGCATAGGCCAGAACCAGCAGCAGGGTCAGGGACATGGCCAGGCCGATCAGAATGGCTGGTGAGAAGGAAGGGGCGCAGTCTCGGGCCTTGGCAAACCGTCCCCCCTGGATGGCAAAGCCTTGAATCTGTCCAGAGAGAAAGAAGAACTGAAGCGACACAGTCCTTCTCTCCTACGAGCCTGCTTTCTGGTTGGGCTGGGGAATCTGGACCCCTAATTGCCAAATTGAAGATGTTGTGCCCATATATGCTAAATAATTTAAGCACATGATCTAACAAATGTGAGTGCAATTTGGGGACAGTAAAACTAGATTTTTAATCAAGGCTGACCCGGAAATACCTCCAGGATACACGATTTTCATAATTAAGAAACTCATGAAATAAAACCTTTATTTCAACTATCTGAAATAAAACTTCTTTCAATGTTAGGAATGTTCTCATTCATAAACCACAACAGCTGTAGTGTTTCTAAAACTCAATCACACTCAAAATTTTATGTGTTAGTATAAATTTCACAAAGAATTTCATCTCAGTTTGTCTGCCTTTGATTCTGTTGACAGAAATTACAGAGGAAAGCTCTTTTAAGGGAAAAATAACATGATTCCCAATTATGTAAAACATGGAAAATAATAAAAGCTAGCACTTATTGAAGCTTTTTAATGTATCAGACGCTGCTTAACTCATTTAATATTTACAGGAGCCTGTAAGTTACTACTTTATCTCTATGGATGAGGAGACTACGGCATAGAAAAGTTAAGTAACTTGCCCAGAGTCAGGCAGCAGTAAGTATAGTGAAGTTATAATGTGAAAGGCAGCCAGTCTGGCTTCAGAGTCCCTTCCCAGTTTATTCCTCCTCACTCCTGGTGTGTTCCGTCTCTTGTCCCTCCCATCATCACCTCTCCCTTCTTATCTGTCCTGCCCGCAGACTTGGTACTGTTTCTGGAGGAGCGATGCAGCAGCCCCTCCTTACTCCCCACAGAGAGAGTACAAAGGAAAGCTTTCCTGTATGCGAGAATGAAGTGCTTTAATTAGATGGAACCCGGAGAGGTTCAAGTCAACGACCTGGCCCTGATATCTAAATACTGTCACAATGAAAGAAACAAGGCTACAGGGTAATTACTTCAAAGGGAGCAATCCGTTCTGAAAGGCAGTCCCTAAAGTTAGCTGGCTTTTACAATACAACCCTACACTATGTGGCTTCATTTGGATCCCTGGTTAATTTTTTAAAAGTACATCAGAAGATTGAATTATCTATGAGTGCTTTACATTTTTATAACTTAAATGGGCACAGCAGCATTTTTCTGTGCTAAAATGATTGTAGCCACTCACCAAGCCCCAGACTTTCAGGGCCTTGCTCACCCAATTGATTGTCTGCTCTAGAGTGAATCCAAAACAGCTTCTGAAGCAGATTCGTGGCCTGGTTTCTGCGATCTTTGGCCCGCCACCTCTGTGAGGAGGTAAGGGGGCCTAGTCTTCAGATTAGTGACTGAACAGTCAAACTCGTCAGTTACCGAAGTCGGCCTCACTCGATGCTGCAACTGCAGCCAAGGAGAACGTCCTCACACTGACTGCCCTGTAATTCTTAACGAGACTTGGTGAGTCAAATGGTATCTGTGGACAATGCCTCAAAGTTATATTGTCCATCCATTTTCTGGACTAGAGATAGCAAGTACTATGTATCAAACCCACAGATGAGTTTTGTTTGGCCCAGAACTCTGAACACCCTGAAAATTTCCCATTAGAATCCAGATGTCCAGCTTCAACTGAAAAGTCAAAAGATCTAGCGACACTTGCATTCCTACAAAGCAAAGTTCTCTGTGGTTGAATAAAACATGCCCTTTGTGAAGCTGGCACACTTGGCCAGCATCCCCAGCGGGCCTACACAGGACACCTACACTTCAGTCCTAGAATAAGCCCGGTCAGCAAAGCTGCGTGTGTGGGACGCTCTCCCTGGATTGAGCTTGCATTCTGCCACGTGCTTACATTAACGGTGTTTCAACGACACCCAATGCTGTGTTCACTGTGAGGCTGCTGTCCGAGATGCTGGCACCTGCTGCACAACACCAGGGATGGATGTACTGCTTACCACACACATTTTCAGTAGTTTTACGGAGCCCTCGTGCTGGCTGCCCCAAAGCTTCAGAGACAAGTTACTGAGCCCGCTTCAGCCAGGGTGGAGAGATGGGCTTGTGGTTTTGAGTGCCAGCCTCACCAGCTCTAACTGATCTTTCCTTTCTTCGTTTTGCTTAACCCTCATGTCTCTGCCCATTTAGCAAGATGATTTTTCTTGTAGTGTATCTGTAAGTCACCTTAAGTCATGCCTGAAACAAGGTGGAGGCATAAATCAGTCACCTCTTCTGTTCTAATTGGGTGAGTTTATGTGGGAGTTATTTCTTTTCATTAGTACCATCTTACTGTCCTTTCTTCCTGCTTCTTTCTTTGAAGGGCAAGAGAGAATATATATATATATATATATATATATATATATATATATATATATATATATATTCTAGACTCTTTGGAGCTGGACCATCCAGAACTCAAATTCTACCATTTAACAGTGATATCAGTTTGAAAAATTACGTAATCATCAGTGCTCCAGTCACCTCATCTGAAAAACAACGGCCACAGTGCTGACACACAGAGGAGATCATCAGCAGTAGTCATTGTTAGTCCACGCCTGACAGGGTCCTGGTGTTGCCAAGTATATCAGGCAATGAATTCTTTACATCCTTAAGGATAGGTGGGAAATTGAGAAGGCGAAGTAGCACCCAGGTGGCTGAGACGTAATCGGAAACCAGTGCTGTTGGGCTCCAGAACATGCCAGCTCCTTCCTACCCAGCTGCTTCTCACCCCCCAAGGCCGGGCTGGGGTGTAAATATACATGCGGGGAGCAGCAGGAGTAAGGCCTGCATGAGTGTGGGGGGTAGAGTATGTGCCTATCTTTCATGAGATGGACAGCAGTTTGAGCATTTCACCTAAAGTGCCATATGGTGTACTTGAGAGTGACATTGTTATTTACAGAATTATATGCTTATGACTTTGTAATAAAAGATTTTGTAATAAAAAGAGGCATTATTTGTGCCAGACTCTGTACGTACATCTGTATGCGTATGTACCTATTTTTCCATGTATATGTATATATACGAGAAAGACTGGAAAATGCCCATAAAAGGGACAATCCTGTCTGGTATTTCAGCGGGTTGCAAGAACAAGTCAAAGTTTTTCTCACAGGTAAACAGAAGAACTTGATGGATGTCTCTCAGCCTGAGGTTCTGGTGGTGAAAAGGAACCTCTTCTGCCCCCATGCCTTTCCCCAAATACTTTCAAGAGGATCTTTGAGACATTGTTGACTCCCGGGCTGACAGCTCCATTCCTACACTAACTGCCAAAGCCGTCACTCTCGCCACAGCTGTACTGCTTATCTCCCTGATAGGATCGCTGCTCCACTCCCTGGAGGAAATAAAATAATTGTTGGATAATCCCTCTCCCTAGAAGGGCCTCTCACTCCAGGAAGTGTCAGTTGCTGGGCTTAAGGTTGCTGGCGTTCCTCCCGGATAATTTATTAGTGAGCGGACACACCTGAGTGTAAAATGAAGCGGGCCGGCGCACATGTAGGGAGAGGAGACACCCTATCCTATCCAGTTTCACACCTTAGAGGATAAAGAAAAAAAATACTTCTTTAAAAGTATCCACTCCTCTCTTTCCCTTAAACATCTGTGTTTCTATTTCTGGTATTTTTAAACAAACACTGAGTTTCTTAGGCACCAAATACACAGGAGACTATGTTTCTGTTTATTACCTGGAAATCGACAAAAGTGACCTCCCACAGGCTGGACCCGTCGTCCACGTCGCTGGGCAACAGGAGGGCATCGTACTGCGGTAGGCTGCTGACCCGCTGGCAGTGATAGGAATAACTCGAAGGAGCATATACGCCAGTTGCGTTAAAAGTTGCTTGGATTGAATTATTAAAAATAATTTCAATTTGGTGCAAGCTAAACCAGCTCTGCCTGGAAAACTTGTTGTAATTGGTAAGGGTGAATCTGAAAATAATTATAAAACAGCGTTACCCCCAAGCACTGCTTCATTTGCTGACACAGGACATCATCTATAAACAGTACAATGGCGCCCTCTTTCGTCAGATAGTAGAACTGGCTCGAGGACAGCCTTTCTCTTTGCTTCTGAATGAGAGCTTCTGGCTGGGTGGGAATATAAACAAAAGACCAAGGCAGCCCCCAAAAGTGAGCAGTGCAATTCCTACAAAAGGAAAGACACAAAAAGCTTGGCGTTTTTCCTGTTTTAGATCAACACTCGATTGTTATTGCAAAGGAATTGAGAAAAATTGAAATAGACACTGATATGGAATTACCTAAATAAATAATGGTCAAAAATTATAATAATGGCTCTTATTATGTGTCAAGCACTCATCTGTTTTTTATGTACATTTTATTTAACCTCCACAAACATGCAAACAATAGATAATAGTATTATCCTCATTTTACAAATGAGGAATCTAAGACACAGAGGGGTTAAATATATAACTTGTGCAAGTTCATTTACAGGGCAAGTAGTAGAGCTGGGCTTTGAATGCAATCTGGAGACCAGAGCCCTAGTTCTCAGGCATTTTAGAATTGAATGTTCTCCAGCCATAAACATGTCATTAATGTACATATGCCATGATCACTTTTATCCTTTAAAAAATGTGTGACTGCACAGAAAAAAATTCTGGAAAGACAGAGATCAAAATGTTAATAGTGATTACAAATGGTGGTTGAATTATGGGTGATTTTCATTCTCTTCTTTTGATGATGGCTCAATATTTTCTGAATTTTCTGTTACCAATGGATGTGTATTATTGTATCTTAGTTTGAACCCCTACAGAAGCAGACCCTGAGACAGGAATACACACACACAGGGAGTATTTTTGGAGTGTGATCCCAAATTTGGTAATTTAAAACATTCAAAATATATAGAGTGGAGAGAAGAGAAATAACAAAAGAATGGAAGGTGGCCCAAAAGGACACATTATTAAGCTAGTTTCCCCTCTGGGCAGATGGGACCTGATGCCCGTGGGGAACCCTGGGAGCCATAGTGGAAGGCAAGCCTCTGGGTCATCTCACGGAGGGTGAGGGAGGCGGGGTATTCCTGGACCTCTGCTGGTCACTGGTTCTGGGCTTCTGGGGTAGGGGTGGGAGGCAGGGGGTCCGACTGGCCAGAGAAAACTTGCAGGCAAAGAAAGACTGGCAACTGAAAGTTGAGGAGTGGACTGCTGTGCTCTCCAATGGAAACGCCCAAGGGGATGTATGGGTACTGACAGTGTCTGCGTACACCTTTGTCACCAGCAAAAAATAGTCATAAGCTCTTTTCCTTTTGGTAAAAAGTATGATTTGAATTAAAAACATTCATTTCTATATCAAACGAATACACGTACATGTGTTTATTGTGGGATTCTACTTTTCTGTAAGAGTTTCTCTGAAAGGTGAAGGCATGCATTTTCTCAGTGATTAGCAGTGAAACACTGGTGTTCCACTGCATGTAGGCAAGCGTTCTGTGGAGAGAGCTCTCCAAGGTTAAACGTGGTAAACACTGGGTTAATCAGAGGTACCAAGTACAACAACCTTCCTACATACAGGGCTTGCCTTCACAGAAACGTTAATGTACAGATTGACACTGCGCATCTCCAAAAGGAACGCGTGGTGTGCAGTCTTCCCAAGCGTGTTTGACCACAGAACGCCTCTTCTGGGCAATCATCTGAAACACTTGCAGAGAGCGGACACAGATCACAGATCACAGCTTAGGGAAGGCTGCCCTTGCACATTCTGCTGGTTTTCAAGTCTTGTGAAAGACACAGCTGCTGTCTCCACTAAAAGGTGGATCTTACAGGAATGGAAACACATTTTTATAAGAAAAATATGTAATTTGTTACAATTGCCACCCTGTACCCTCCCTTAGGGCAGCTCCTAACTGCTTGGATAAACCACTTTTGGCGGATGTGCACGTCCACACAAAAACACAGAAAATGTAGACCAGTGTTTGAGAAAATGTAGTCCCCTCTGCTAGGGGTTTCAGCTAACAGACACCTTTTCATTATCGTTAAATGACGTGTGGTTCATTGAAAGGAGCTACACAGAACATAACTCCAACCCCGAGCCTCAGCCCTTGGAGCTTTAAATATATTTTCTCCCTTGCTCAGAGGAAAAGGGTAACACATTCTCACATTCGTGTCTTCACGTGTTCTCTAGGTCCCTCAGTGAGGAAATTACAGATGCTTTGGTAAAAACTAAGAAAAGTATTTCTACAAGATCCCATCACGTGACACCACTACTTTCCAGGGGGATTAGGTAGACGGGACATTTCACTGCTTAGCACGTAGCAAGCCCTTGCTGCTGACATGGTGAATGAACAAATCACACTGCATGTGGAGCTGCTATGAAGTGTTGAACCTACGGGACCCCAAAGTGGTCTCCATACCTACCTTATTTCAAGACCTTTGGGATTTTCAGCATCGTCAAATTTCAGAGACAATCTAAGAACACAGAAACAACACAATCCATCAAAGTGGGAATAACCCTTGCTTCACACTATACTCAAAAATCACCTCAAAATGAATCATGGACCTAAATGTAACAACTAAAACTAAAAAACTTATTGAAGAAATATAATAGGACAGTTTTGCAATCATCGCTAGACAATGATTTCTTTAAAAAACACAAAAGTATGAACGATAAAAAATCAATTAATTGCACTTTATTAAATTCAAAAACTTTGCTCTTCAAAAGACACCATTAAGAACAAAAAAGGCAAGCCATTAAATGGGAGAAAATATTCACAACACATACACGTAGAGAATTTGTATCTGGAATACAACAAATAGCATTAACAATTCAATAATAAGAAGACGACCTGTCACCCAAAAAGGGGGTTCCATGGAAAGTAACCTCACTGGGTGATCTGATTATAATTCCTAACTGGGCAGGTCCTGGTGGGTGGTCGTGCCCCAGGAATATAACTTGTTTTTAAGAGGTTTATCTTGGTCTTAAGTAAGCCTTGCCCATTGTTTCTGTGGATCTAGGTTAACACAACTTTGAAATAAGTGTAACCACCCTCAAGAAAGCCCATAATCTTACTAACTGCCCTGTAATTCAATCACTGCTCTGCATTCCCCCACCTCCGTGCACCCGTCCTTACCATCCGGCCTTAATTTCAAATGCGTGAAAGAAGCTGCAAAACTGATGTTCCCCAGAGCGTTTGGGACCTTACCCTCCAGCACATGTCCGCTTGGCTCAGATAAACTCATAAAAAAGTCTCCACAGGTGTGGACATTTCTTAGGTTAACAAAAACCTAACTTGATCAAAAGACAGGCACTTCACAAAGAAGATATACACGTGGCCAATAAGTCCATGAAAAGATGCTCAGCATCATTAGTCATCAGGAAAATACAAAGTGAAGGCACTGTATGATACCGTGGTGCAGTAATCAGCATGGCTCAATTTTTAAAAAATATCTACTCTCAAGTTTTTAATACTGTTACTGAACAGCAAATGGGGCCCTCCTGCCCCCAGCCACCCCCTAGGAAAAATTCCAGAGGCCAAGTTTTTGTGATAAAGGAAAGGAGTCTTTATTCAAAAGCTACACAACTTTGGAATAACAGTTTTCCACATACATTAGTCACCTAAGCCTATTAATTAAGGCTAAAATCTTTAACTCCTGAGTTCCCCTACATTCTCCTTATTAGTTTTTAATTATCTTATGCCTATTGGATCAGTTTACAAATAAAAACAACATAAGATAAAAAAGCTACACAACTTTGGAAGCATGTCAGGCTTCTGCCTCAGAACCTTCCCCTCTGGAACTCCCAAAGAAGAACAACCCAGCCACCCTCTGCCAGGCCAGCCCAATTTTAGGCTACTCCTGGAGTTTTTTCTCCCATCCAAAGTACTGTCCTTTGGGAAATGCAGACAGCTGCAGCTTGATCATCCAGGCACCCTTTTTGAGGAAAATGGCCTGAGAGCCAGTCTCTGGCCCCCTTTTATTTTAAATCTTCTGCCCAAAATTCCACATACGCTAGAGTAGTTCAGCTTCTCAGCCAGTCCAGTCCTCGACTGCTTATCATTGCCTCGAGCAACCTCCTCCTACAGCCCCTCTCTTCCCCCTGCCCTGATTTTATCAATACTGATCTCTATATCAATATCTATATTTATTCACAGCTTCCTGAAAGTTAACAGATTTTCTGGAGCAGAGACAAATTATTACTTATCCACAGGAATAGGCACTTTGCTTCCCTTTTAATGCCGTTCTTCCCCTGACAGCAGGTTGGGAGCCAGATGTCACCCGGCGCAGGCTGGGGTTTGTGATACGTGTGAAGGACACCAGAATTATTATGAGTGGCTAGTAAACCAGGACGAGTGAAACGGGAAAACTGAGACAGATAGTTAAACGACCAGTTTACTGCCATCTAGTAAATTGCAAAATTCCACCTCCCCTAACCAAGGGCACTTGTGAGTAAATCCTTTACACTTCTTCTCCCCAGTCAGAGGGTAAATTGCTTAAATCACTCTCCTCAGGGAGACAGATAACAACAATCCAATTAGTGCCATTTGTGCCAACCACACCCAAGGATGGATAAAGTAGGGGGAATAAATCCCATCTGGGAGCATGAGCGTAAAGCCGATGAATACTGTATGAAGACCATCCCGAGACCTCCCCTAAACTCCCACACTTGAAAATCCTCCAGATGAACGAAGGTCCCAGGGTGCCCTCTCCCTCCTGGGGACATGCCCACGCCTTTCTTCTCTCTCTGGGTTGCCTCTCCTCTACCCTAAGGGTCCCCAACATAGCCTTGCAACCAGGGGTGCAGTGGGCAAGAGCAGCTCAGCCCGGCCAACCCCTAACCTGTCTCCAGGGGCCCCTTTTGTCCGACTTCCCGATGAGTCAGCCCCGCCAGTCTCCCTCTCGTTGCTTCTTCTATCCTAAGCCCTTCCTTGTTTCTCTGTCCCCAGCTTTATTAACATTCTCTCAAAATCTCCTAGACTCGTGTTGTGAAGTCTTTCCACGTGCAGTCAAGAACCCACACATACCACCAACCCGAGGAAGGCCCACTCCAGGCCCGGTTCCCGTCTTGTAACATTATGAGTTGGGGATTTCACGTAGGAGAGAGGCAGCAGTTCTACAACACCTCCTGACACATTTGCTTCCTCAGTGTCAAAATTTCCCTTGGTAATGGGGACACTCATAGATGGAGAACATGAAAACAGTTCTTGGAGGGCAGGGGTTAGGGGGTGAAGGGACTGAGCAAAAAGGAAAAAGGACTCGTGGACAACAGTGTGGTGGCTGTTGGGGCTAGAGGGTACAAGGGGACTAAATGGTATTGGAAAAAATAAAATAAAGGTTAAATTAAAATTTTTCCTTGAAAAGAAAGAGGGCACGTACCTGGGTACCCGCATCAGAATGGAAGCAGATGAGTTTCACTGGCCTTCGTATGGGAGCAAATAGTTCACCATGACGGAGGCCCATGGCTGCCGGTCTAACACCACGGCAGGTCAACATGTGTCTCCAAACGGAAGAGAAGAAGCCTCTCTGTACTTCCAAGCCCAGGGAAGCCTCCCCAGTCCTGAGCTCATTATCCCCTGACGTGTAAACACTTTCCTCTGAAAAAGAATCTCTTACTTAACTGTGAGGCTTATCTTTTAACCCAGGTCTCAGTGAAAGGTATACAGAAATTACTAACCATGGGGAAACAAAAATATTTCCCCCACAGTCCACTTTGACCACACCAGGTGCTGGTGAGGATGTGAAGCAACAGGAACTCTCATAGGATGATGGTGGAAAGGGAAATGGTATAAGCACTTTTTCAAAGTTTGGCAGTTCCTTAAAAAACTAAACACGTATCTACAATATGTCCCAACCATTCCACTGTTAGGTATTTATCTAAGAGGAATGAAATACATGTTCCTACAAAGACATGCATGACTGTTTACTGCCAGTTTATTTGGAACATTATCTAAAAAGTTCAGAAAAAAACAAAATTTCCATCAAGAGGTAGATGGTCCCAAAAAGCTGTGGTGTGCGCACACAGTGGAGTGTTTGCGACTCAGCAGTTAAAAGGAACGTGCCCTTAACACGTGCAACAACAGGGAAGAATGTCAAAATCATTACGCTAAAGTGAAAGAAGCCAGACTATGAAAGCATGTACGCCACGTGATCACATTTATGTAAAATTGGAGGAAGCACAAACTGACCTAGGACACAATGACAAACAGTCAGGGGCTGCCTGGGGAGGTGGGGCGGCAGGAGCGAGGGTTTCCCAAGGAGCACGGAAAGTCTCAGGGCGACCGCAGCGGTTGCTGTGTGCACTGTGGGGCGGGTTTCATAGGTGGACACACGAGTCAGAGCTGATCAAATTGTACACTCGAAGTGCTATTTAGGACACTTCACTTACATTTTAATAGGTTAAAATAGGAATGATAAACTATATAAATAATTAAAAGGGAAAAATGTTAAAAAGGTAAATGTTCAAAGGATGACAATGGCATGTGACATTATAACATATAGAAGTTACAACATCTCAATATGTTATAAAACAAAAAAGCAAAAGTACCTAGATATAAGATGTTCAGTTAGAAGTTTTAAAAATACCACGCATATATAACCTCATTCATTTAGTTCTACTTACTAGGAAATAGAAATGTCAGTGACTGAGCTGGTCTATTTTAATTCTATTTATGGAAAAAAGAAAGGGACATTTAAAATAAACTTTATAAATAAGATTGCTAAGAGAAATATTTTTACTTTCTAACATCGTAAGCTTAGCCACCTTAGATACACTCATTAACCAACACACTAGAAGCTGATTTACTCAGTAAAGCGAGATTTCAGCAGTATTTCGATAGTCTGTTACAAATTACTGACAATACTTTAAAGAAGGAAAATGCATGTCTTGAATGCACGTCTTAAATTTTAGTGGTCATTCATTCTAACAGAAATTTCTCTGGTTCTGCTATGTGGCAGCTAGCAATGAGCAGCCGGAGGGGAAAGAAGGCAGGGCCCGACCATTACGATCTAACAAAGAACTTAACACAGGAGGCTGGAAACAGAAGGAAGTCTTGTCTCACCAATTAACCCTGCGGGCTGAGCCCAGTCTGACCAGACTGCCCATTGTTCCGAATGTCAGAGCAGAACTATGATAGCAGGAGGAGGGGAGCCCTTGAAGGTCTGTGTGAATCGTCCCCACCAGCCGGGAAGGAAAGCCTTTGTAACTGTCCCAAGGTCTGGGGGTGGGAGGAGGAGGGAGAACCTAGAAACTCACTAACGTACACAACAGTAAGCACTGAACGCCAACGGTTAGCACACTCAGGTTAGCTGAGTGCTCACTGACAGCCAGGTGCTCAAAGGTGTAGAACGGCTTACTAACAAACTTATTACCAACTTTATTTCCTCTACGGGGTGCATTCAGATTAGCCAGGTGCCTACTGGCAGCTCTGTGCTCTTGTGTTATCATAAATAAACTTGCTCTCTCATTCCACGAT